GGGTAGGTGGGAGTGGGGAGGCTCTGGGAGTGTGAGGAGTAGGGAACAGGAGGGGGGGGGGGTAGGTGGGAGTGGGGAGGCTCTGGGAGTGTGAGGAGTAGGGAACAGGAGGGGGGGGGGGTAGGTGGGAGTGGGGAGGCTCTGGGAGTGTGAGGAGTAGGGAACAGGAGGGGGGGGGGGTAGGTGGGAGTGGGGAGGCTCTGGGAGTGTGAGGAGTAGGGAACAGGAGGGGGGGGGGGTAGGTGGGAGTGGGGAGGCTCTGGGAGTGTGAGGAGTAGGGAACAGGAGGGGGGGGGGGTAGGTGGGAGTGGGGAGGCTCTGGGAGTGTGAGGAGTAGGGAACAGGAGGGGGGGGGGGTAGGTGGGAGTGGGGAGGCTCTGGGAGTGTGAGGAGTAGGGAACAGGAGGGGGGGGGGGTAGGTGGGAGTGGGGAGGCTCTGGGAGTGTGAGGAGTAGGGAACAGGAGGGGGGGGGGGTAGGTGGGAGTGGGGAGGCTCTGGGAGTGTGAGGAGTAGGGAACAGGAGGGGGGGGGGGTAGGTGGGAGTGGGGAGGCTCTGGGAGTGTGAGGAGTAGGGAACAGGAGGGGGGGGGGGTAGGTGGGAGTGGGGAGGCTCTGGGAGTGTGAGGAGTAGGGAACAGGAGGGGGGGGGGGTAGGTGGGAGTGGGGAGGCTCTGGGAGTGTGAGGAGTAGGGAACAGGAGGGGGGGGGGGTAGGTGGGAGTGGGGAGGCTCTGGGAGTGTGAGGAGTAGGGAACAGGAGGGGGGGGGGGTAGGTGGGAGTGGGGAGGCTCTGGGAGTGTGAGGAGTAGGGAACAGGAGGGGGGGGGGGTAGGTGGGAGTGGGGAGGCTCTGGGAGTGTGAGGAGTAGGGAACAGGAGGGGGGGGGGGTAGGTGGGAGTGGGGAGGCTCTGGGAGTGTGAGGAGTAGGGAACAGGAGGGGGGGGGGGTAGGTGGGAGTGGGGAGGCTCTGGGAGTGTGAGGAGTAGGGAACAGGAGGGGGGGGGGGTAGGTGGGAGTGGGGAGGCTCTGGGAGTGTGAGGAGTAGGGAACAGGAGGGGGGGGGGGTAGGTGGGAGTGGGGAGGCTCTGGGAGTGTGAGGAGTGGGGAACCGGGGGAGGGGGGGGTAGGTGGGAGTGGGGAGGCGTGGGGGGATGATGAGTAAGTGGGAGTGGGGAGGCTGGGGGGAGTGAGGGGTGGGTGGGGGTAGGGAATGGGTGGGAGGGGGAAGGTAGGTGGGGTGAGGAGGGGGAAGGCGCCTGTAGGGGGGGGGTGAGAGGGAGGTGGCGGGGGGGGGTGAGAAGTGGGTGGGGAGGCATGGAGGGGGAATTAGGACTGGGTGGGAGTGGGGAGGCTCTGGGAGTGTGAGGAGTAGGGAACAGGAGGGGGGGGGGTAGGTGGGAGTGTGGAGGCGAGGGAGGGGTTACACCAAGAGATGCGAGGAAACGTGAGAGGGGGGGGAGGGGGATGCTGAGTCCGTCATGACTAGAATTACAGACTGATCACAAACTTTGTGTTTTTGGCATGATTGTCGGGAATTCATCATGATTCGTACGTCTTTTCCAAACGATTTTTTTTCCAACAGTAACGTACCTTTTTGTTTTATTTTGTAACCAATATTATTTCACCGTTAATTATGAATCATTACTGTCAAATGTTATTTTTCTTTTACCCAGATAATTTGCATACTAGCTTCCACGACCACTCTGTTGAGGCCATCAAGCTCTCTTTGCAAATTTATAAATCTTAAAATTAAAATTAAAATCATTCCATCTCTAAATCTCGGATGATTTGATTATTACACATTTATAAGCATTTCATCCGTTTCCTCGTCGATCTACTTCAAAATACTTCAGAGACAAAATTCTAAAGAGTTCGGGAGATTTTTGTATCACTTTATCTCCATTTCTTGATGTTTATTTCCATGTGAATCTCTGTAGTAGTATTAAGGTGTTTGCGGGGGAAAATTATGTTTATTTGTTATTTGTTCCCTGGCGTTGTTTTACTGAATCAGAGGCTTTTTCTTTGTCTAGGTGGATAGCATTTGTTGGTCAGATTCAGCTATGTATGTTGTACTTATGGTATGATGATGATAATGATTTTGATGATGGGTATGTTTCCCCTGTACCCCCTCTCACGTGCCCCTTTACCTCCCTCCTATGTCCTTCACATGCGTTACGATACATTACCCATTTATTCTTCTCCCACAATTCCCTTTACCCCCTTCCCAGTTCTCCCATACCTTCCTCCCACATCTCCCGTATCCCGCTCCCACATCCCCCTTTACCCTCCTCCCCTATCTGCCATACCCGCGCCCACATTCCCCTTTACTTGAATCCTAATTCTCCCCTACCCCCCTCCCACATCTCTTCGTACCCTCCTCCTCCCTTTATCCCTCTCCCATATCTCTCCTTACCCTCCGCCCACACCCCCCCACACCGACGCCCACGAGCCTTCAACCAACTCAACCATAATCTCTCTCTCCTTCTCTCTCTCCCAACAG